CTCACTGTTTTCCTTATATCCAACTTTAATCTACCCTCACTTAGCTGGAAACCATTTCCCCTTGTCCAATCCGAGTCTGTCCCCTTCTTTCTTATCTTTTTCAAAAATGAAAATTATGAAAGTCCTTCATCATCTCTTTCCTTGTCTTATTTCGGGTATTTTTTTTAATGCATATTATATTATGTTAATACATTAATATTTATATATATTACATATATTAATGTATAATATAATATCTACATATTATAATATATACTATTATATGCATAAAATGAAAGTCAGCAAAGAAGCTAGTCCAATATTGAAGAAAAATACAGAAAAATTGGGTTTTTTTATACTTCAGTTTTGCACTAAGTTAAATTATAGAATAAAGAGTTTTTAATTATAAGAACATTCCACGTCAGTGAAATTTCTGTAAGAAAAAACATACAAAATCCAATATATTCTTTTTAAATGATAAGCTTATTAACACAGAAGAATTTCAATGAGTATTATGTTACAACCCTATATTTGTACGCAAGTAGGCAGCAGTAAATACCACTGAATGAAAATGTTCAGGTGTCACAGAATACTACAGCAGTACAGGCATTTGTCAACAGCTTAAATAAATTGACTTTCTAAGGTTTCATTCATCTTCAAGTCTTAATGGGCATGTGTTCCTCTGCCCCTAACGCAGAAGTGGTCTTAGCAGATCATAAAAGAAAGGGCATTTTTTCCTGTAATTGAAAACCATGTAAGTAGATCCATGGATTTCATTTAAAGGACCTAACAAAATGAATATTCAGTAGAGAAAGCTTCAGCTGAAAACTATCTACTTGACAATGCTGTAAACAATAAAAAGGATAATAGAAAGAAAAAATCAGACAGGAAGTTAAACTCTAAACAATTTAGCAGCCATGCATCCGCCCAGACTGGCTTGGAAATTTGCAAAGTAGCACAGCAAGTATGCCTGGTATGGGTCAGCCCACTGTTACGTTGCATATCACATGTGTGTATCGCGTGAAACGCATCACGGGTCAGTCGTCTGAGTCCATGACTGCAAATGCTGCTTTCTAGTAAAACCGCAGGCAGAAATGCTGTTATAATTATGCCAGCTTTAAGAGAATTTTTTTTTTTTTTTTTGTTCTTTTAGATTTGCTGTCCTTGAAGAACTGTGCAGCTAGTATGACAACTTCTGCGTTTGGGCTGTTCCAGCGTTCTTTCCGAATTTGCATAAATACAAGCCATGGTTGCCTGGCGTTCGAGTTCACTTTTTCTCATAAGCAGCCCCCATCAATCCCACCAAAAGAAGGCCCTTTCTTACTTCCGCCACATCTCTGCAAATGATTCCTCCTCTTGATACATGAACTCTTCTGATTTTCACAGAATTCTCATTAACATGTACGTCTTCATACAATTTGCCTTTCTGCAAGCATCTACTTTTTGAGACTGCCAGAAACAGTCCTCAAACTTTCCTTTCTTCGAATCTCTCCTCTTAGTGTATCTAGTCTCTTATATTTTTATAATAAATGTCTACAAACTAATAATTATAAAAAAAAAGACAAAACTACCACAAGCTGCACATAACCCTAGGTTTTTGCGCTGATTGACAGTGTAACAACATTATCTGTCTTTACCATCTTTTTGGCAATTTCTTGCTTACAGTTAGTTCCCTTTAGTTCTCTGCCCTCTACCTCTTTAGTGAGAGCTCAGATTTAAGCACAAATATGTTCAGCAGCCTGTGAAACTTGAACAGTAAACTCTTCCGGCTATGAACTATTTGCTTCTCTCACATTTGTCTATATTTGTTTTTGTAGAGTGGTAGGCAAGTCTAAGTTTGAAATACTAAGTACAAGGGCCAATGCCATTAACTCCTTGGACTCCAAAGTTATGTGCAAGTTTAATGTTCAAGCTTCATATTTTCTACACTGTGTGTTTCCCACTGTGCAAGGAGAATGGTGGAGCCAGGGACTAGACTCATACCTCTCAATATAGGCATAATAAGATTTTAAATGTCTGAGGGAATATGGCATATTGTAGGCATAAATTCTTACTGTTTAAGCTACTTGAGAGATGCCAAACAAGAGCAATGTTTTGAACTGTTTTCAGATTCATTGCTGTGGATACCCAGCGTCCAAGCTCACATTCTCCACACGCCCAGAACTTTCACTTGTGTTGCTGCATGGACAGGAGGACAGTCTGAAGAGAAAACTGCTATAAGAAAGCTAACTTAGGAGCTGTATTTGTCCCTAGCAAAATCACGGATGTTTTCTTGAACGTTCATAGTAATTCCTTAACAGTTCACCACACATAAAAAATATTTGTGCTACCAATACTACAATAATGCTTGGCAATTTAAAAGTAAAAATATGTCACAACAGCATAAAATCTACAGTTGCATATGTTATATGCATTATTAATCCCTCATCCTGTGAGTTAATGTGAGGCACAGTACTCATTAGGAAGAACCCTCAGTAGGAGCCTCTGAAGTCTGCAGCATGCCAGGATTTCCCAGCCAAACCTGGCTTTGTAGAAGCACTGGCATCTCTTGATCTCATCAGCTGTGGTCTGAGACACCCTTCTCTGCAGAACCTTCCATCGCTCCAGTATTTCTCTTCTCCTCGGATCTACTTTGCACAAAGCTTCACCCACTCATCACTGATAAAACTCTGTATCAAATACTCCTTTCTTTCCCTGTTCCTCTCTCCTAAGTCCCTTATTCATTTGCACATCATCCCTTTCTCCTTTCATTGTTACTCTTTTTCACTTATAAATAGATGACTTTCTATATCTAATCTTTGGTTTGCACAGTTTTCTCCACCCTATGGCTCAAGGGAGAACATTTTGGTCTTTCTGGTTTTGCAGTTCTCCCAAGAATGTAATTTCCTTGGGGAAAGGAAAAAGAAACAGGAAAAAAAAAAAAAAAAAAAAAAAAAAACTTCCCCTTTCATATCAAAATCCATTCGCCCACTTCTAAGTTTAGTTTCTCTTAGCAAAAGCTACCCTGTAATTAAAACATTGGCAGATGAGAATATTACAGAGTTTTCCAGGTCAAGTGAACATTATTGTTTAACGTGATAATCTTGTGTCTGACAGTCTAGTAAACTGACTGGTTGAAAAACACATAGTACCTTCCAGACTAAAGCTCACAGAGAGTACTTTACACCCTTCCACAGGTAGCATTTGCAACTCAGCCAGAACAACTGATAGATTACAATAGACCCACGTTGATGAGGACCAATGCTGATTTCTACCAGCAGATTATTTAACTTTCACAGCACAGAGCTACCCTCCAATAGTGGTTCTGTACACTTTATTGGAAACTCTTCATTCACACTTACACCGAATGTCAAGCAACAGCATCTTTGCAGAACCAAGACATCAGAACTTCCTAACTACACTTACTACATAAACCTCTCAGTTTTCCTAATCTGGGAAAAAAGGTTCATAGTGTTATATAGTATGTTCAATATAACCAGTTCCAGCATCCACAGACATAATTATGCATGCATTTTTGCTTGTAGTTCCACTTGTGTGAGACATCTTATGACCCATCTTATCCCAGCCCTTACTCACTTCCATTTCAAGAGCATGGCCTTCCAGCCCTAACTCCAGCCTTAAATACAGCACCAGCAAAACTGAGGGAGCCATGAACAGCACTAGGACTTGGGGAAAAATATCACCTTTTAGACAGGCTTTATGCCATCTCAGATGCAAAAAGAAACTATACCCGGATGTAGAAAAATCCAAATTTTTTGCACGATACATCTCTGACAGAACTAAAGAGGGTTTTTGCTTTTTTTTTTTGCTTTTTTTTCCACATACAGCATGCAAGGGAATAAGCTATGTTTAGTTTTCAGCTACCTATTCTAGAGATTTTATGATTCTAAGATTCTATTTTAGCCTGACAATTGAAATCAAACAGCTGATCTTTCTGCCAAATAGAGTGAAGTTAGTTCATGGATATGAACTAACTTCACAGCACAGAGCCCAGGCAGCTATTAACAGGTTTATCTGCACATGCAAACTGCTTATTTTTCATCTTCCTTACAATGCAGGACCTTGTCTGTTTTAGCTGGGTGCCTCATCTCCCACCTTTAAGTTTTCTCTTTCTTCAGCATGAGTTTGACTCTCTCATCCTTGGGCTGAACATTGAGTCTTAGGAGAGGTGGTGGGAGAAGTAGTTCATATATCTTCATATACAGCTTCTGGAGATAGGTGTGCAGGGGTGTGCATTCCTCTAGCATAAGGAGGACAATTGCAAAACACTGGCTGTTTTTTGTTTGGATTTGTGCCAATCAGTTTTGTGCTTTGCTTTCTGTGTAGGTAAAACATTTTTAGCTAATCAGGGTAATAACTTACAGTCACCCAGTATTGCATGAGTCTGTCTGATGCACAGAGCAGAACTTCAGTGGGAGCTCCCAAAAAGTAAGCTAGCTCTTTACCCTAAGAGTACTTTTCCCTTGCTCCTTCTCAGGAAGGAAGCATGCTCTCACATTCACTCCTTCTGTATCTATGCATAGCCTGCCTTGAGAGCCATCAGAACCTTCTACAAACTCTTGTCACAGGGATAAAGGAGTGGTATCTTAGATTCAAGAAGCAATAACACAGTGCTCGGATTTTGAAATCCAGCATCTTCTGCATATTCTCTTCTCTTGAAAATAAGTTAATTATCAGATTCCAAAAAAAATTTTATGCATAAATAGCATATCAGAAGAGGACATTAATGCTCAGCCAACATGCACAGGAAACATGCACAGTGAATCCTCCAACTAGTGTGCTTCCACTTCACATAAACCTGCTGCTGCTTGCCAGTACAGGATTATTTTCAGTGAAGGTATCCAAGGTCAGTTTGCACAGAAAAGATGTATTACACATGCTTGCACAATTACTCCTTGAACCACAACTAATTCTAAAGAAAGTTAAGCTAAATATTGGGTAATACCTCCAGGTCCTCTTCCTCTGCGTGCCATGAATAGCTGCAGCCAGTGAGAAGGGACTGGCTCAACAAAACTTTTTACCTGTTTTCCAGGGAGCTGCTTGCACACTGTGAAATCACATCAGTCTACAACCCAGCCTAAAATGAGGGCAGCTCCTGGGCAGCTGCCTGTGAAGATTACAGAGGAGCCAATCAGTTTGCTGGGTATTCAAGGAAAATTTCAGGTGAAGCCAATAAGAATAGGAGAAAGTGCCTGGAGATGTAGGGAGGTCAGGCTGTATTGTTATGGGTGCATTCAGTGACTCAAACTATACACTGTAATGCAGTTTTATCACCAAACAGAAGAAATAAACCTCTGTGGGTTTTTTTATATTAATATAAGTTGTAGTCTCTTTTAGCACAGCACAGAATAGTATTCTGTGAGTCCAGGTTTACTTGCCTGGACTCTTCCCTTGCCTTCATCTTCCCTATATTTTCTCCATATTACCCTTCTGGTATTGACTCCAGTCTCTCCCCCCACACAAGTACTATACAGCTCAGTTATTCACAAAATAGCATGACAGCTGTTTTTCCTCACACATGGTGTTAATGGTAAGTCCTTAAGGCGGGAGGAAGGGGGAGCAGTGCATTATGCAAGCTAAGGACAGCAGCTTTGAATCAGAAAATCAATTCCATGCATGGTAGGACAACATGAGAGAGATTTTTGTGTAGCATCTTGGTCTGTCACACACTTATTAGCTCAGGAAAACTAGATCAAAGGCAAACAGCAAAAGCAAAGCAAAGAAGAAACTTCTGGAAACTGCAAAAACTAATTCTGGAGAGGCTCTAGAAACAGTTAGCATAGTCTTGCCTGCAAGCTTGAAGATCCTTACTCCTTCTAAAGAGACAAATAATATATATAAAATTAAAAAAAGAACAGGAAGACTGTAGTGTCATATGAGGTAAGTATGAGCTGGAGTATTCTTGATTAAAAGGTAAGCACTGTTAAAGGCTTGTGGTCTGCGTGAATGTGCCACAGTTTTCTTGAACTGTAGAGTTTGTAATTATGAGTTTAAACTCTTGAGCAAAGAATTCAGATTTACCAGAATGCTAAAAAGCACTGTAGAAACCATAGATTTTCACTGGCTGTACACTGGATTCTGAAATGTAGTCAATTCAAGGCCAGGCTGGATGAGGCCCTAGGCAGCCTAGGGCAGTGCATTTGAACTAGGTGGTCTTTGAGGTCCCTTCCAACCCAAGCCATTCTATGACTACAGGTGAGTGGATTCCAGGCATTCCTTTTCCTAGCTCTGAAGTGCAGAAAGAAGGCTGTTGGGGAGTGAATCAGTGCTTGATGTGACAGTGCTCAAAGACAAAATATGAGCTATTCTGCAAAACTCTGTCTATGTGGACAACTGAACTATGCAAAATTAACACACTGCACTCAAATAAGAATTAAAATTACTGTCAACTGTATATGTTTCACTGTAAAGTATTTCAGATTTTTTTTTTTTTTTTTTTTTTAAGGCTGCCTAAAGCTAGAACTGCTTCCTACAACAACAACAAGAAGAACCACTGCACAAAGCAATTAAGATAAGACAGGACATTTCCTGTCAAAGATAGCAAAGATGTTGCAGTTGGGAGCAGACATACAAGATCTTTCTGTAGCTAGTTTCTGTACTTTACCACAAAGAGATTTTCTTTGGTTTCACTACTTTCTTTTTTTAAGTTTGGGCTCCTTTGTTTGCATGTCTGATGTAAATCCAGAGATTCCTCCATGTCTCTACACATACAATTCTATTCTTTATAGTCCTTTTTCACAGTGTTAGTTTTTAAAGCTTTTTTAAAGGACTACAGGCTCAGCTGAATCCATCAGATGATATCTCATAGGTACAGACAAAGAAAAGAGCAGAACTTCCTATCTGAAGTGCAATTCTTCTCCATGCAAACGGTACCATCTCAGTTTCAGCAACATCCAGTTTTATTAAAAGAATCTGATTCATTTTCAGGTACAGGTTATTCTTCTTGTTGCAACAGAGAAAAACGTGTTAATACCTGTTTCATATTGTCTCAGTTCTGACAACAGATCATTAGACAGCTCACTAGACTGAATGAGTGCCTTGCTGTGGTTGATAGAGTATTTACTTTCTTCTCTGTTAGTTTCTACTTTGAAATGAATTTTCCTCAATAACAGCTTATACAGAAGTTTTGTGCATTCTTTATGGGTCTATCATCTTGTTTTTCATTGTTGCTTTTCACTTGTCTGTACTGCAACAAAATTTGGTGTCAGATGCCCAGTCCTTGGAGACAATCAAGGCCAGGCTGGACAGGGCTCTGGGCAACCTGTTCTAGCTGCAGGTGTCCCTGTTCATTGCAGAGGACTAGACTAGATCATCTGTAAATGTCCATTCCAGCTCAAATAGTTCTCTAATTTTACAAAATTTCCTCACAGCAGTTTTTGGAAAAGAGCAGGGAAAAAATTTCATAATCTAATTCAAAGCATTTCTGGGACATGAAGTGCTGCATGCCCAGAACAGGAGAGGCCACACTTGAAGGAAAGAGGAAAGATGTATTCCTCCCAGACCTAACCAGGTTGCCACAGACAACCTGAAGGTGGCCCAGGAATGGATGTAAGCAGGAGCAAAAGTCCCACAGTCAGCCAAGGCCTCTCAGAAAATCAGCAGGAGTCCTTCTGGGTGAGTCTCCATCCCGGATAAACAGCAGTCACAATACAAACCATTAAAATGAATCACCTGGGGGCCTAACAGTCCGAATACAGTTTGCAAGATGATTCAATTAGACCTTTTTGCCTTTTCTTCATGGTCTCAACATTTCTTAGCAGGTCTTCTTCCATGAAGGAAGTCTGTCTTTGCCTTGCTGAGAGGAAACAGCAAATGGTGCATGACTCAACATGAGTTGAAGAAGGATCCAAAACTTGGATCCAGTCTGCTGGCTCTTGGACCAAGTATGTGGACAGCTCCATTTTCACACAGCAATCTTCCCAGCTGTGTGTTCACCTTTCCCCAGGAGGTGACAAAAATGAAGATGAATAATATGAATTCCAAAATGATTCCCAATTAAGTGTTTCATTCATTCTGAAAAAAAAAAAAAAAAAAAAAAAAAAAAAAAAAAAAGGAGTTTTTGGAGCTTCTTTTCTCATGGCAAGAAGGAGAAGAGGTATTTCAACTTTCTATTCCAATTCAGGGTGGAATTAAGCACTGGAATATTTCCCCAGAAACAGAATGTGTGGAATTTTTATTTTCAACTCTGTTTCTCTATTTGCAAGTGAGAAAGAAGGTGAGAATGGGGCAGAAGGCAGAGATGGTGATGGAAACTGGAAAATAACTGAAAAGGATGAGGTTAGCATGGGGCAGCCAGTCTGAACTATGGAAATTGACATGAACTCTTAGAGACTAAAATGTTACAGATGTGTAAAACACATGCAATTACAGAAGAAGAAAAGACCTTTTGCTAGATTTTTCCCTTTTTTTCCTATCAGCATCAAAAAATGTGAGCTTTTCCCCTTGTCAGAGGCCTGAACTCCTGTTGTGATGAGTGTTCTGCAGAGCAGTTCTGAAAATGTTCCTTTTTTTTCACTGGCCCCATTACCTAATATTTTGCAGCCCTGCCCAATAAAGATTTATTCATCTCATATGTTCCTGGTTGTGACCTTATGTTCAGCAGTTGTTGGATCGTTTTGAGCTCCACAGCTCTCATCTTGGCCTTCCCAATCCGGGAAGCACTGCTCCTGGGAAGACCAGCCTGGGAGCCGGGCTGAGCAGTAAATCCAGCCTCGAAAGCCCAACCTTCCTAAATAAAACACTCAGCCTCATATGTTTTGTTACTGCACTAATATTGCCCTTAGGAAAACCACAAATAATCATCCAATATATTTCCAATATGTCACTTAGCTGATGCATGTTTTGCTTAGGGTCAGTTTGAATATTGCTTAACTTTCTTTTTAATCCCCTTTCCCTATGTTTAGGATGAATGTCTCCGAGTTAACTTTTGTACTGCAAATAGGAGCCCACCATGAGGGCTTGCATGACTGAAGTCAGTGCTGCGTTGACCTCACCAGCTCCCTGGAAATAAGTCCAGACTTATTTCACACATCAGTTTTCCACAGTTAAATCCTATCCTTCCATAAGCAGCTGTGTAATTCAGAAAAGCAAATGCAAAGTTTTCTTTCAGACTATTACCCTCCTTTGCTACTGCTTGCTGGCCAGAAATTGATGGTTTCTAGAACAGACCAAGAAAAAGTGAGAATCCCCACTCCCAAAACATGCTTCTCCTACTGCCTTCAGTATTCACTCCCTTACTTCTACTACTTGTACTCAGTAATACACTTCCCTCCGATGAAACCCCATGGCAGTTCCTGTGCTGAGAAATAATAGCAGTGTCACTTTCTCTGCTCATAGGAACTCTGAATGACAGAGGAGGGGAACCCGTAAATAGTGGGGAAAAAAGTTAAAAAAAAATAACATCTGCTAAGGTGATTTTTCAGAGCTATGCACCTTCTAATAGTTATTTAACAATAGGAGAATTCTGACCTTAATTACAGCTAAATTTCTCTCACACATCCTTTTGAAAGAGAAACTCAAATTCTGCCAGAATAACAGTTCTTTGCTACTCCTGCAGTTACTTATGTCTGATTTATCACTAGATATCAAGCTCTGTTATGCATTTAGTCAACAAAATGACCTGAGTTTTAACCAGGAAAGGTGAGATATTTAGTTGATTCAAAATAATGAAGGATATTTTTTGAGACATCCTGGTAAACTCGACTCTTGAACATTTTATCTTGTATATGTTAAGAAAGCATTTGATGGGACCTACTCATCTTCATTAATCAGTTTGATCACTGTGTTATTTCTTCATATATTTCCATATATATCATCCATACTGAAAACTAAGATATCAGTTACTAAAGCAGTGGCTTTGATGGTGACAGCTAATAAGTTTTGGGGGTTTTTTTTGTTGGTACTTTGGTTGTTCTGAACTTTTCAAGGGATCTTTCTCTTGCTCTCGGCTTAAATAACAGAAAGTTGTGGCAGATGTGCTGCTGGTATGTGAAAAATACTTTTCATTGCTCTGAGGACTGCACGTGAAAATAGAATCACTGTGTGTTTCTTCAAGAAGGAAAAGTTCACTATAACACTGATCTTTTCCTTTAGTTTTCCCAGTGAGA